GCCAACTTAGTAAGTAACTGAAGTAAATAAGTACAGAAAGCAGTGACGAGTAGTTCAAAAAGCATATAACTAAATAATCACNATTTAATATGTAAGTTTATGATAATTTATTATATGTTCCTCCATATGTACCTATATAAGGACTTCTATGTTTTGAACAAGTATGATTGATACTAACTTTATATTTTGCTTATAATGGTTTGAGTTATCTCTATGTCAAAGGCTGTAGTGGAAAAGCAAAATTATACTAAGGTATGGTATGATTTCTATTATTTATTTTTTGTTTAAGGTAAATGCATGAAAATATTCCATACAAGTGCGAATCTTAAGAAGAATGTTTAAGAGAAATTGCCAAACAATGAGGTGAAGATCGAAGTAAATCGTATGTCACAATTCTCATTAATGGTATTTGATTTTGTCATCTTTAGGTTTATGTTGTATAGGTTAAATTAGTGATTTTTTTTCAAATATACATAGAGATTTTGATATCTGTTTTGTGTTGTATATATTCATACTCTACAATTGCAACAACTTTGAGTTGTGATTTTTTCCGATATCGAAGTGAGATTCTAATGTATTTTTATTTTCCTGTTATATATAGATTTATCATTTTCATAAATATATTTTTCCATATATTTTTAATTGTTTTTGCCTCTATTTCTTTTCTTCAATGAACTTTTTCGAATTGTTTTTCCTTTTCTGAAGTTGTTCTCTTCTAACACTCCTTAAATTTTCTTCAAATAGGTTTTGTAAATTTCTTTCCATGTTTTCATAATACTGAAAGATTTATTTATTTTTGGTGTTGAAAAGAAAAAGAAAGAAACCAAAGCAAATAAGAATGGGATCAAAAGAAGAATAGCCCCACAAAGAAAAAGTGTGGCGTCGTGACCTTTCTTGAGGATCGAAGATGATTCTGCCACCATCATAGTAAAAGCTTTATTTGTGTTATGAAGGTTGTGCCAAAAAATTCAAACGTTCAATTCACTAGGCATTAATCTATAACATTGACAATTTGTAGATAACTTTAAGTTAATATATAATATAATCTAATTAATTAAGAAATCACATGTAATAATAGGTTATTACCGATCAAAACTCTTAACACTGTGAATGGGGTAGGCTTTCAGTAGTTTAAAACTCACTAGACAATGAATTATTAACTTTATGAAATAAAGTATTTTTTTTTATTTTCGGGTTATACTATAGATGATTGAAGACTTAGTGAGGTTCATAATCAACTTGCAAATAATATATTATTCTAATGCTAGGATTTACACATAGTTAGTTTTGGTTCTTTTTTTATTAAGTGTGTTATTAAAAAAAATTTGTTAAAAAAAATCAAATGCTCCTGTGAATGCTTGGTGAATTTTATTCTTTAAAGTGTGTCATTATCTCTAATTTAATGTTGCAGCTACTCAATTAAATGTATCCCATAAAAGCATGCCTTAACTACAAGAATAGTACAATAAATTAACGGAATAAAGTTTTTAACATTTATATTGCAAGGTAAAAGGAGGAGGTCTTCCTAATGATCTTTTGTCGAAAAGTATATATTTTTTCTCATAGAAATTTTTAACTTCTCAATATACAACTAACAATAATTTAATTTATTTTGTTTGTATAATTAGTAGTTTTAAGAATCTATGCAACTTTTATTTTAATTTTAGTTTTTATTTTTCTTACTCTTGGACTTTCTTAATTAGATAAAACTTAAGCAGTATTCATTGATAATATACAGTTAATTATACATCACATAGATTATTTGTCACAATTAAATTAAATTTATGAATTAAACCAAATGTATTTTATTTATTGGAGATTTTCTTTCTCATAAAAAGAGGGATAATATCTACATTTGTTATTAACTAGATAATTTAATAAAATTTTTATTGATGTTTCTTAAACCCCGCGCAAAATACGGATAAATTTACTAGTTATATATATGTCTATGCCCGAAAGTGATTATACTAATAGTATTCCTAAAAGTAATCATGTAGGATTCCTGAGTTACCGCTCCATTCCTCATTTCTGCTTCTTTATGCTTGTTCATCTGTGTTATATGGTATCGGATTAGTCGGTTCGAATCCGGGATGGTTTTGGGGAAGGTTTGAGACACTTAGTCTCTTAAGTTGGCCTTTAGTTGGAAAAAAAGTCAACTGGAAGTTGACTTGTGAGCAAACGATCCCGGAATTTGGGTTTCATGATTCGGATAGCTTCGGAAGGTGATTTGGGACTTAGGAGTGTAATCGAAATGTGTTTTGGAGGTCCGGAGTAACTTTAGGCTTGAATTGGCAAAAATGGATTTTTGTTGTTTCTCGGTTGATAGGTGAGATTTAGATATCGGGGTTGGAAATGGAATTCCGGGAGTTGCAGTAGGTCCGTTGTGCCATTTTGGATGTGTGTGCAAAATTTCAGGTCATTCGGACGTGATTTGATAGGCTTTTTGATCAAAAGCGGAATTTGGAAGTTTTTAGAGTTCTTAGGCTTGAATCCATGGCTAAATTGATGTTTCGTTATTTTAGGTGTTTTGATGATTGGTACAAGTTTGGAAGGTGGTATATGACTTGCTCGTGCTTTTGGTTGAGGTCCCGGGGGCCTCGGGGTGATTTCGGATGGTTGACGGGAGACTTTGGAGTTGAGTTTGGCAGTTGAAGTTTATTGTTGCTGTCATAACCGCACCTGTGGTTGGGAGGCCGAAGGTGCGATGCCCGCAGAAGCGGAAGGCAAGCCGCAGATGCGGCCAAGAGGCAGGTCAGGCGGAGCCGCAGAAGCGCATACCTGGGCGCACCTGTGATGACGCAGGTACAAAAGAGTGACCGTAGGTGCGGTCCTGAGGATTTTAAGCCATTTTCGCAGGTGTGCACATGGGACCGCAGATTTTGCTGGGGCAGAACATATATATTTGACCATTCGCGATTTTAAGTGATTTTTCACCATATTTCATTCGGGAGAAAGCTTTGGAGAGCAAATTTAAGGGAGAATTCAAGAGGGTTTCGTAGAGGTAAGATTTTTGGTCCCTAAACTTGTTTTTATGATGATTTTTAACATTTTAAGCGTGAAATCTTTGGGAAAATCAGTAGAAAAATTGGGTTTTAGGGCTTGGGAATTGGAGACCTAAAATTAGGAATTTGAGGGGTCATTTGTGGTTGGATTTTGATACTTTTGGTATGTATGAACTCATGGAGGAATGTCACGACCCTAAACCCGGACCCGGTCGTGATGGCGCCTCTCGTGAAGACAAGTCCAGCCAACACACTTCCAATTCACTTTAAGCAATTAAAATAATAAATACTAAGTCTCTAACATGATAAAATCCCAAAATAAGCAGTGAACAGTATAACTTGCGGAATTAAACCAACACAGCCCGACATCGGGGTGTCACCAGTCATGAGCATCTAACATAAGTCTCAAAAAAAAGTGGGAAAAGGGACTACACTGTCTATTACAAAATCCAGAACTAGGAACAGAAATAATGATATGAGGGAGAAACACTGGGCCGCGAACGCTAAGCAGCTACCTAGTAAATCTCGGAAGATCTGCTGGGAACTATCAACCCTCAGTAGCAAGACCTGTAGCACCCGAATCTGCACACAGGGGTGCAGGGAGTAAAGTGAGTACTTCAACTCAGTGAGTAATAACAATAAATGAAGACTGAGCGATACAAAATCATGTTAAACACAACAATAAGCTATAAGAGGCAGGATAAAATCAGTTAATGCAATTAAACAGTGAAATCCCATAAAAACACATGTTAAGCAGTTAAACAAATAAAGAAAATGCAGCTAGAAAAGGTAAACACATAAGAACTGCCCCTCGGGCACAATAACAACCAAATCAGCTCCTCAGGCAATTACATAGAACAATACCAGCCCCTCGGGCTATATCTCGTATCACAATGCGTACCCGCGCTCATTGGGGGTGTACAGACTCCGGGAGGGGCCCCTTATGGCCCAAGGGCAATATCAAGCCATCTCGTTGCATCATAAACAGGCTCTCGGCCTCATATCAATCACAAGCCACCTCGTGGCGTACCATCTCAGGCCCTCGGCCTTATTATCATAATCAGTATATCACCGTTGCGGCGTGCAGCCCGACCCAAAAGTAACCTCACAATCCAGGCCCTCAGCCTTACTCAGTCAGTATCTCATAAGCCCCTCAGGCAACAGTAGACCTGTTTTACCTGAACCTACTGAAGAAGTGTCTGAACCAGTGGGAATAAGAAAATCCTCAAGAGTTCGAAAATCAGCAATTTCTCGTGACTATGTTGTATATCTCCAAGAGTATGATTATGATATTGGACTAAAAGATGATCCATGCTCGTTTTCACAAGTCATGAGTAAAGAAAACTCCACACTTTGGTATGATGTCATGAAAGAAGAGTTAGAATCTTTGGCTGGTATCTCGTCGAATTACCAAAGGGATCCTCTACTATAGGTTCCAAATGGGTCTTTAAAACCAAAAGAAGACTCATCTAATAATATCGAACGATCTAAAGCCAGGCTTGTAGACAAGGTTTTTACTCAAAGGGAAGATAATGATTACCATGAAACCTTCTCTCCAGTANCTCCAGCATATTATGCTGGACCGGTATACTTTGCTAACTCCTGTAAAATTTGCGGGAGACTGGAGCACCAGTGCTCCAAACTCCAGTATATTATACTGGACAATTATACTTGCTGGAACTCCCGTAAAATTTGCGGGAGTTCCAGCATAGTTATCCTGGAACTCCCGTAAAATTTACGGGAGTTCAAGCATACTTATGCTGGAACTCCCGTAAAATTTGCGGGCGTATTTTTCCGGATTTTGAATAGTGTTTTCGCTCAAATTTAAAGTGGCTAAATTTCGATGACTTTTGAAACTTGGCTATTTTTCAACGACTAGTGGTAAATCTGGCTATTTTTTAATTTCTCCCATTCTTACTCGGCTGTCTTTTTAAATGGGCTGGACTTTTGAAATCCAGTCCAATTTTCTTATTATTTCAATTTTCCACCGGTACCACTGCAACTCCCTTATCAGGAAATTGCACAATGCCACAAGACCGTGATATGGCATTTGATTTGGTTAAGCAAATGAATAATTTTGGGATTCTTTCCAGGTTGAGACCATTTGGGCCGGCATTGCTCGGGATTTGTGAGAAGGGAATGGCTGAGAAGGCTGGGGTTGTGCCTGAGGAGGCAGAGCTCTCTGCACTATTAAATATTAGTTCAGAGTCTAAAAAGGGAAGAGAAAGTATATCAAGTGATGCATAGATTAAGAGCATCAGAAAGGCAGGTCCTCATTAGAGACTTATGGTATGATAAATTGATAATCCTCTTCTTTTGTGTTCTTAAATTTTAATACAGCTGGGATACTTTTATCCTTTTTTTTAAAGAAATCGTTGCATCCCATCAACTAAATTGCTAATTGATTCTCTGTCAAACTTATTGTAGTATCCTGCATATTTTTCTGGCATTACTACTGTTTTTAGACGATTTCTTATGAGAGTGATAAGGTAGTTTCACATTATTGATATTTGATAATTCTGTTTCTTTTGACATATACTTCTATTGTTTACTCAAACCTATCATAGAGTATTTGTATCATAATTGCTGAAAAAGATGTTGGAGGCTGCTAGGGTTGCTGAGAATGATGCTGGAGGCTTCCGTGCCATGTATAATAGTCCTCAGGTTGATTTAAAGATAAGTATAATAGTCTTCACAAAGCTAAGCATTCATATTTATCCTCTGCCAACACCCCCGACAAAATCATTTGGGTGGACATTACAGTTAATAAGCAGGAATATCTGTAGATGAGGGCCTTTTTGTAATATAAAAGTGCGAATGATAGTGAGTGGAATTAGATGTATGTGCTTGTCCTTCTCAAAAGATATATGTGTTTGTCTTTATAATACGATGTTGGTTGCAGGCAATAGAACATGTTATTGATATGGTAACACTTAAAGGAATGTCATACCTTGTTGTTTGTGTGTATTAGCATTTTGGCATTTTCATTGATTGTTATCCTTTCTCCATTAAACTGGATCCTGAAAGATCTGTTAATATGTGAAATATATTGGTTCAAAACAGGTGCAATTTTGCTGTCAATTCCCAGTATTTGAGTTTCCGTGCTTCGGGCATGTAGGTGAAAGAGTATTGGACTAATTTTCAAGGTGCACTTCTCCAGAAGTGGCTACACAACCGTGATCCATTTGATGCAGTGGTGGATGGTGCAGATATTGACCTTATTATTCAACGTAATTATAATTTTGCCCAGGTAGCTGTGCTTTCATTTACATGCCTTTTCTGTTTTCTTATCCTTTCCTTTCTTCTTTCTGAGGTGCGGGTGGGAGGGTCAGGTTGAAGTTAGGGAGGCATTTTAATGCGCATGAAAAAAGGAACAAAAATTAATCCTTTATCATTATGCGTGTTTCCAACACGGAGGAATGCGATATGTAGATTGGAATATGTAAATGAGGCTGAATTATTGTTGGATCTCATTGGTTCCCTGCAGAACTAGAAGGAACTATAGTATATTGTTTGGGGTAGGTTGTACAGTTTACATCACCATCTTAGTGTTGTATTTTGTTAACAAAATTTCTATCTTACTAATGAAAAATATCATTATGCATCTTTTGGACAAGGCAATGGTGATACCTTTTGACTCTGCACAGTCATATGGCACAAAATTTGTAAACCATCTAAACCAGATGCCATTAGTATTCCATGAAAATAATCCTTTTCTACAATTGGATTTGGCAATAGTCCCATAGTTTCTTTTCTTTTCCTTGTACAAAAGTAGCCCCATACTATGTTTGCTGAAACTGTTCTGTTCTATTCCTTTTGATTTCTTGCAGTTATTGTAAACGTAATGAGCCCTTCGAACTCAATTTCTCTTCCTTAAATATTTCTTTAGCACCATCTCGTCCTCCTCTTTTATGTTAGAAGAGAATGGTTCCTGCAAACCTTGAAACATCTTCTTCAACTGTATCTTATCTTCTGTTTCTGTGATTGACCATCAAGTGCAAGAGACTTGAAATGCTTTCTCAAGATTAGCGGCTGATAGAACAAACCAGATGCTGCTTTATCTTAAAAGACAGATATGTTAGCAACTATGTCCGTCTATTCAAGAGTAAAATCTTCATCTCCACGTTGATTGACCGACTTGGTTAAATTAAATTTGTTGAAGGCTCTTAATATGATCAAACCTTAAATGGGTTCTTATTTCATTATTGAGTAGTATTTTCTTTTTACTGCAGATGGAAATGTATGTTGTGCCTGATGGAATGAAAAACATCAGGTACAATCTCTCTCTCACATACACGCACACACTCTACACACACACACGCAACACATTAGATTTTTGACAATCTCCAAGTTGTTTAACAGTCTTGCAAAAATGATTTCCCTCTCTATGAAACATGTTCTCCCAATTGTGATGTGTCGTAGCTTAATGCCTCCCTCATTTTTATGCAGGAGCAGAAAATACTGATGATGATGAAAGAACTGATGATATGCAACAGAATGATGTTGCTGTTGCGGAAAAGAGTGATGATGAAAAGGGAGCGGATGATTAGCTAATGTGTGATGTTGTTGTTGCTGCTCTGATAAGGTGCATTTACACAAACATAACCTATAATTGTACATTAGGCGTAAACCATCCGTTGTATACTTATTTTTAATGTATTAGAAAGGCTTTAGGACTATGATATTCATGATGAGGAGACAGGTGTGTTATTGCATAACTCAAACCTGCTATGAAACAATAAAGAATCTTAATTGTGCATATTTTTAATTGTTATCTTCTTACACATGCGTTAACAATAATTTTATTGGTGAGTTATCTCTAATCCTGTGTTATCTTACATTTACCTTTTTGTTTGTTGATTTGGTGTCTTAATTTCGATTGATTTAGGTGTTTTGTCTTGGCTTCTATTCAAAGTAAAATATAGAACAAATAGGAGGAAGATGGTCACACAGGAAGAGACCTTCAAATGAATGTTCCGACTACTGTTGCGGAAAAGAAGAATGATGATGAAAAGAGTGATAATGTGCAGAGCAGCATCATTCATCTGCACATCATCATACCTTACTTCGTCATCGTTCTTTTTTGCATTCGGAGCATACGTTTGCAGGGTCTTTCCTGTTTTCCTCCTCTCATTTGCTCTGCATCTCGAGGAGAAGTCAAGAAAAACTAGCTTAATCAACAAAAGTAAAGATTCCAAATCAATCAATAAACAAAAAAAGTGAGATTCAATTGGTCAAAGATAATCCAGCAGTAAAGTTATTGTTATTGCACGTTTAAGAACATAACCATAAGAGAAAAAGGTTATGTACATTTGAAGGCTCTAATGATAACCATTAAATAAGAAGCTAGCTGCGGATCCTGGTTTAATAGAGCATGCTTACTATTTATTGTTGTTTTCCTTTCTCATTTATATGAATTGGCAGTTAGCCATTGAGGTTTCATAATGTTACCATTGAGATACTATAGATCTGGATGACTGCTTCAAGAGATGGACTTAAGATCCTTATGCTTCCACTTTATTTGGTTGTTATTAATTTAAGTTATCTCATGGCCATCTCATTAAATGACTCAACTTAGTATCATTCTCATCTCAAAACCCGTGTAAACTTTTGAAACTGAAATTGGCGTGTGCTGCCTGTTATTGGAGATGGCCTTGAAAAGCCAAGACTTTGGATCTGGGCCACCTGGATAAGAGCACTACATTTCTCTTTTCACTGAACTGGGGAATCAGTTCATTCACCTATAAATTGGTAGGCTCAAAGCTAAAGCGGACCATTAGATTGCATCTTTTAGCCCTAGTCATTATAGATCTTTGTTTTAGTTCTTTTCCATGTCCACAGAAAAAGATAAATGAGGTTATGCCCCATTAGATGGTATATGTTGTACTGTAACTTCCACTGTGAAAGGAACTACAAACAAAGTGGTAGCATTTGAAAGTTCCATGATATGAAGGCTATTGGAAAAAACTCAGGTCAAATATGGGCTTTAGTGTTGGTGATGGGAGGAAATCAGATTTTGGTAAGACACATGGTTGTTGATCAGTGGGTCTGTGCTACTGGGGTAAGCGCATTGCATTTTCTCTGTTCACTTAACTGGTGTATCAGCTCATTCACCTATAAATTTGTAGGGGCATGCAAAGTCGAAGGGAACTGTCTGAGTGCATCTTTTAATCCTTGTCCTTGTAGATCATCGTTTTAGTACTTTTCCATGTCCTCCACAGAAAAAGATGCCCCGTTGGATGATTTTGTTAGTATTGCAGTTTCCACTGCCAAAAAATGGAAAGTGAAGTGTTAGCACTGAAAGTTCCATGATATAGAACAATAGATATTGGTGAAACTATTAGTCAGTGGTCACTGAAATTTAATGCCAAAGTAGTGAAAATAAATAGTATTAGAAGACATAACGTCAGTGCTTCCTTTGTTTTCAGTCTGAAAGAGTGTGGAATGTGTTCTTGCTAAACACATTGATCTTTGATGTGTTTTGGTTAGCAAACTCTTCTGCAATCTTGTCATGCTAGTATGGTTTGCTTAACTTTGAAACTTTACTTATGGCATAGGTCTTAAGAAAAAAGGACTTCGAACCTAGCTCAACTCCAAAAGTTACCGATCAATATTGTCCAAAATCATAAAAGGAGTCAAAACAAAATAGTGTGTTACCTCAACTGATGTGGTGCATTCTAGCCAGAGATGAGCGGGGGTTTGTGAGATTCAAGATAAGAGAACAGAGTGGCAAATGACTTTTAGGCAGATTAGGAATTTCGGCCAGGATAAGCAATATAGAGTAAGAGAGTTTGTGTTATCATATTTCTAATGTGCTCAACTTAAGCTTCGAGGGTGATATGGTATTTGATGGTAAAATTTTACGTTTATGTTCTACTGGGGTGTACATAGGTCGGGTTGGTTCGGATTTTACAATTACTAAACCAAACCAATTGTGTCGGGTTATTAAATCTAAAGACCAATAACCAATAAAACTCGGGTTTTTCAATCTCGGTTTTTCTCGGGTTTTCCGGGTTCTTTTTCGGGGCTTTTTCCGGTAAAATCTTTGTAGCACAAAATATATAACTTGTACTCAAAATAGTTCCTTAATCCTAGTAAGATACAACTATATAAGGTATTTTACAAGAAAATAATACAATATATGAGATGTGTCATGGAATTATCCTAAAATATTCAACAATAAAGAGAATAAAATTATGTAATATAAATATTGCTAATTAGAAAGTCATAATTAAAATAAACATAATCTAAAAGTACTAAGTCATGCTAAAATAAGTAGACTAATAAGGTAGTATTAATTACATGACTAAACGCTAAAGAAAAAATAAAAATAGGTTATGGAATTTTATCTAAATTATTGCAAAACAAAAAATATATATTCAATACATTGCTGTTTGTAGTATTGAATTGAATGTCTTTTGTTAGCATTAGTATTGATTTGGTTTTGGTTTGGGCTTTAGTTAGCATTATTTAAGTTACTAATATTAATGACTATAAAACTTATTGGAACATTCAGAGTTATAAATTCAACCTTGAAATAATACCGTTAAAGATAAAATTATGAAAAAGTTTAAGAAATATTTATAAATTACATCACAATAAGTATATTTATATATAAATATATCTAAAATTTCTATATATGTAATGTCGGGTTGGTTTGGTTTCGGTTTGACTTTCTTTAGTTAAAATCAAACCAAACCAATTACGGTCGGTTTTTTTTTTCCAACACCAAACCAAATCAAACCAAACCATAGTCGGGTCTTTTTTCTCGGTTTGACTTGGATTATCGGGTTGGTGCGGTTTCTCGGTTTCCTTTGTACATCCTACAACATGGCCCTATGTACTTTTAGGGCTTTGAATTTAGAGTATAAGGGTAATTTTCCAGTGAAACTATTCATAGGCGTACCGGGATTAGTTATCTCAATACATAAGTTGAATCCACCGTGTATATTAATTAGATTTAACTGGAAAACCAAAAGGAAATAACTGAAATTTTTATTCTGGTTCAGTTTTTCCATTTGGTTTTGCCTAATATTTTATTGTTTTTTAAAAAATCGCTTTTTATATGTTGAAAAACCGTAGTTCTTGGTAAAAGTTTTAAAGTAGTAGAGGCTTACAATGGGAGAAATGAATAATCACCAACTACAGGAAAGCATATTTATGAGTTACTGGAACTAGCACATGAAGAAATAATCTTTCGTATGAGGGGTTATTCTAGTGGCACTGTGATTTGCAGTATGACAATTTACAAGTGCTAGTAAGATGCACGTGTGCATTATCTTCGCTGGATAATAAGAAGAAAAGAAGAAGATGGATCAAACTGAACTTATTCTGGTTCAAATTGCATATTACAATAGCCAAAGTAAGAAATTGAACTGGAATTATACCACTTCGTACGTAACAAGCACCAAGGATCAGGGGCGGAGAGCCGAGTGCTGGTTATGAGTTCGGTCAAACCCAGTAACTTTAATTCAAACCTTGTATTATCTTTTAAAAATTCATAAATTATGTAATTAATTTAGAACCCAGTAACTTCAAAAAAAATTAGAAACTAGAACCCATAAAGCTTGAAATCCTAGCTCCACCTCTGCCAAGGATTCGGAATGAAAGGGAATAAAGGACAGTCTAAAATGCATTAGTCTTCTAAACCCTAAATACGGGGTGCAGTAAGTTTTTATGCAAATATAATAGCACGGGCATTTAAAATTCTTTATAAATGATTGCGTGCAGATAATTTTACTAGCAACTTCCTTAGAAATGCAATGTACCCAAAGTTTAACATAATCTAATCAAAGGTCAAAAGAAGTCACCCAGAAAAAGGAGTTATAATGAACAAAAGGCCCAACCTTTCACTTTGGAGGCGTTTGCCAAATTTTACCACAAGTGGTATCTCCACTTCACTTGGGCACAATTATACCTTTCATGAATGTGCCCATTTACATATGTTTACTATAAACTAGTTATATTTCGTACTTTCGATCTAAGATGTGTAGTGGGTGTTTGACTCGAGAGCTTCATGCTTTGACCTTGGAATTGATATCTTTGAGATGCATATATTAGAAGCATAATTAGTTAGCTTTACTCAAAAGCTACATTTGGTCCCATCAATGATTTCTGTGTTAGTTTCTCCCTGCCGAATTCATCTAAGATCATCATATCCTACCTATATTACATTTAAAAAAGAACTTAAAAAGAAAGGGAGTTTAAGAAGGGAAGTTTGTTTTCATAGCAATATATATAAATACATGTACCTTCCAATCACTAGTACTATCTTTCTTCTTGTGTGATGTCTTTATCAGATAAAAACAAGGAAACAAAATAAAGGAACTTAGAAAACAAGTTGAGATAGGGGCCATGAGAAGAGCAGCATGTTTTTGTGCAATCATAATGGCTTTCAATTTGATTTGGTCATTCCCAAACAAAGCAAAGTTCCAAATAAAGCAAATTATATTGGTGAAACTCATAACGTCAACATATATATTGAGAGATGATGGAGTTGCCTTTGCTCACAAGAAACTAACTTGTTTAAAAAGTGTATACCTACACATGCAAACTTCCACAAACACCAAACAAAACTTGGGGTGGGTGGGTTGTGCTTGGGGGGGGGGGTGTTTGGTTCTTGATCTCTTTTTTTATGTCAACATGTGCAGTTGTTTGTAAATGCAGTCTTGTATTGTATGGGTGAGATGATTAGAAATGGTCAGTGCTTACGAGCTAATTAAGCAATGAAATGATTATATTATACTTCCAAAGGGGGTTTATGTCTTAATTTAATGAACTTCCTCTGGGATTTATGAATTGCTACACGTGGTGAGGAGGACGAAACTTTTGATTATGCTGATATTTAGAATTATTTTCTCTATTAAGACAAAGAAACCAACATGCCGTGCCTCATTCTTTGGGTTTAATTTGTTTAGCTTTATCTACTTAAATCAGTGTTGAGATTGCTACACAATCTATTGGATATTGCTCTTTTAGTCCATGTTTCCCTATTCAATTTGACCAATTTTTAAGTGTAAATGGGCGTTTCCTTAAATTATGATGGGATTTTAACTTATTTTCAAGCTGTAAGGAGGTAAACGTAAATATAGAAAACAACATGCGTAAAATGCATAAGTTTTAATTACTGCTATAGATCATGTATTCTTTTAACATAATTTAACGGTTTAGAAATTTCGTTAAAATGGATTTTCTCAGTAAAACTTTTGACCAGTATGGAAATGAAATGGCCCCGTGAATTTGCTTTATAACTTCGGCAGATCTAAAGTCAAAGAATAAAAAGGGGAAAAGAAACAAATAGAAATAAGCAGAGACATGACAATCTTTTTCTTCAGAAGTTTAGGCTTTAATGTATTCCTAACACATAACAGCAACGCTCATCACGTTTTAACAGTAATTAATAACACCTTAAAAAGCAGTTTGAATCCCAATGCCAAAAAGAGTAATTACTCTTTAAGAATCCTTAAAAGTAACCTTTGAATTCCAAGGTTATAAGTTTCCCATTTCACATTCAATAAAGCACTTTAATTTTGGCAATTCAATTACTACCTCCGTCTCATATTATGTGTCGTGTTTCTCTATTACATGCCCCTTAAGAAATATTAATTATGAAAGAGATTGGATTATTCTACCCTTATTTATGTCTTAAGATATAATCTCTCTTCATTGAATATTTATCTCCATCTTCAAGAACAATTATTACTAAGGGTAAAAAGAAAAAAATTACCAGTTTTGTCTTGAGCTTATAAAATGGTAAATAATTTGAGACAATTATTTTTAGTAACCACGACTGTTAATATGAAACGGAGGGAGTAATAATAGAATCAAAAAAGTAAAAGAGAAGTCGTTTTTTCAATGAAAATTGGTAAAAGTAGAAACTTTACTTTTTCTAGAATTATCTTCAAACAAATAGCAGAACGAAATTAGAATATGTCATTACTTTGCTACTCCTTTTTGTAATAATTTGTACTATAAGATTCTTTTTGGAGTTTATAAATATTACTAACTATTTTCTATATAACGTTTGCAACATTAGAAATTAAGTTCGTTTAATTAATTGAACTTTATGTGATGCTTTACTAAATTTTTACTTCTTAGATTTTGATACAATTAAATGGTGTCAAATAATAGGTTGAGGAGAGTACCATTTTATATAGGCAATTAGTCGCCACTTCCTTTAATCCACTTTTCTACTATTGAGATTTTCATCTTTGGTAATAACATTAAAACTAATTACTTTTCTTACTTCTCTTACTCTTCCTTCGTCTTTATCTACCTTTCAACTTCTATAACCTTCGTTCACACTCCACAAAAGTCTATTTTCATACAAAGTCACTTTCTTGTGTGTTTTCTCTGGAAAATACTTTACTTGCCTGAGGATATCATCAATTTACACTTTAAAAAAGATATGTAAAATGATGATAAATCGGTGATTCGTTATTTCAAAATAATTACGACATTAATCTCTACGTTAAAATTTTGTTAACATCTTCAGAAAAAAGAAAAAGAAAAATCAATCTAGCACTATGTTGTAAATTAAAATTTCAATATTTTTTGATCCATTATTAATTCATTCAAAGTTTACATCACACCCTTGGAGGTGTGACCCTTGCCCGGGCCGTGATGAACGCGGGATACGTACCATGCTGGCCTTGTTTAAAGTAAAAAATGAATATTTCATACTCCCTCCTGTCCAAAATAAGTGATATTTTGACCTTTTTTTTGTGGTCCAAAATAAGTGATTTTTCCAGATTTCAAGAATGAATTAATTATTTTTTTCCTACATTGTCCTTGGAGTAAATAGTATTGGAATATGTGTTAGGAGTGTTTATGTGAGATAGTAAAGGTTAATATGGTCAATTCCATTACTAATTAATTCTAAAAGGTGAATTTCTTAATCTGTGTGAAAACATCCAAAAAATCACTTATTTTGGACCGGAGGGAGTATATCACAATAAATTAACTTAAACTAGGGTAATTTTTTTTTGAAATGACACAATAGTTAATATATGTAAAATAGACCCAATTAGTGTGATTGATACTTTCTCTTTGACAAATTGACACAATTACCTAGTAATACAAGTTTAACATCTCACCTAATTTGATGTTTCAAAGATATTTGAAACTGTACAATCAATAATTTATGACTGGTAGAATATGTTTTTTTGTTTGTTTTTTTCAGTTGTCAAGTCTTAGAGATTGTTTTAGAATGTAAGGAATCAAAATAAATATGGATCCATCACGTGTGTGTGAAAGAAGGGGCGGACGGGAATGCTTACATAAAAATGATATAATGCTTACGTAAGCAACCACCATTAAATCCGCAAAAACAAAAAAAGGAAACAGAATAATAAAGAAATAAAAATTATAAAATTGTTCCTTAACTTGGTGACACAAGACAACTACCAAATAACAATCATAGCACACAAAAGCTAAAAAGGCTACTCAATACTTAGCAGCAGTAGCAGTAGTATCAAAAGGAAAGAAACAAGAAAGAATGATTTCAAAACTTTTAAATTTTAGTACCGTTAATATATGCTATATATATTATTTATTTGTTTTGCCATATAAATGAGTATGATAAGGATATGAATATTCAATGCGAGTTCTTCTACTAAAATTAGTAGAAAAATAAACTTGACATACCCGTATTGGATACCAAATCCGACATGTACTCGTAAACGAATCCAAGTAACATAGCCCGTGAATTTTTCACATTTGCCTAGGCAAGTTTCACATAATATATCACTTTTAGCTCGCAGTTGAAATTAATTTTATTTGATAGTCATGCATAATATGTATATAATATACAGAAATGTTCGTATATCCAAAAAAATAAATAAATTTTTCGGATATTATTTTGATAACGACTACACAGTGGCATATTTCTAATGTTATCGTTGGTGTCTACATGGTAATAATTTTCAAATGCTTTCCTACAAATCCTAAACATGAAATAAGGGAAAATTTCATATCGACATTGCATATTGATCTTAAATTGTCACACTGTTTTGGATTTACTATGAACGTAGCAAATTTAAATTGGTAAGTGCTACAATTAAAATAGAAAACTAAAACAAAGCCGATCGATCGAGGTTAATTAGATCCTAGCTTATTGGATCTAATTAATTAAGTGGATTACAATTAAGAAATAGCTAATTAATGTGGCAAACTAATCTCATCAAGATCATCTAGTGATAGGAAAACTTCATCCAAGCATGAAAGCTCTGTGCCATCATCGTCGTCATTATCACAGTTGCGCTCGTGTACTCGACAAATTACCCATTTACTATAGTCCTGCAAATAAAAATAAAAAGGATATAAAAAAAAGAAAACCAATATACATACTAAGAAAACATGGTCAAACAGAAGGAAAAAAAACATGTTCTGTCCTATACTTACAATTTTGGAACGGCTTCTTCTTCTAGAAGATGAACGACTAGTTCCAGAAGAAGAAGAAGAAGAAGAATCAGAAAGACTAAATTCTTGCATTACCCAATTGGTTTTGACACCTTCAGGTGGCTCACCAATGTAAAAAGCATAGTATTTCTTTATGCCAACTTTGTCGCAGCTGGAACTTGAGAATATTGGTTCATCAAGTCCTAATGATTTCCAATATCCATTTCCAGTGATTCTACTCTGTGTTCTCCTACTATAGAAATACCATTTGTTGCCTTCTGCCATTGCTTTTCCTGTCCAATACATAACATGCAACAAAAAATAACCTAATAAGCAAAAATAAATAAATAAGATGACACCCTTACGGTTTAAGCTTTTAGATGAGAGAATACGTGGAATTCAAGTTTCCCATAACTCATTATCGATATGAATTTCGATATGATTAGCCCATGAAAAAGAACAAGGCCTACGTGTAATTTAAGAAGAATTATTAAAGATATAATTAAGTAAATAAAAATGTATTCTTTCAGATCACATATGATAGCACTAACCATGAGTTGGAGAAGTGAAAGTAGGGAATTAAGAGCATACCATCCAAATCCCAAGGATCATACGGGTAAAGATCAAGATCAGGAATGACATCAGGATGACAAGGTAAGAGAGCAGCCTTGCGATGGAGAAAATGGACAACTAGTTCTTCATCTGTTGGGTAGAATCGAAATCCAGGTGGTAGGTTCACATTATTATCCCCCATGATATATCAATGTTATATATATAATAGCTGATATATGGAGGAGGAATAATACAACAAGTATATATAGTGATGGAAAATGCTTAGTATAGAGAAGAAGTAATAGTGTGAAAGATTTGGAGGAAGGTTATTTATAGAGAAAGAAATTAAATGAAGGAGAGAGAGAGAGAGAGTATATAGAGAATTGACGTGAGAAAGAAGGTGCTTTAGGAGATCATCAACACCACCACCATACTTTCACTTCCCAATTCTGTGTCATGTGTTTTGCTTGAAAGAAGGTTTTGCTTTCCTTTTTCATTTGATGGGATATTTAAAGGATAAATAGTAGATTTGGCTGGCGGCTCTCTGCTCCAAGGCGGCGCGGTGACCACCTATTTATGTGAACGTTTGGGTCGAAATCCAATACTCCTATGTGATATCATCATTGGGACCGTGATATCCTTTAAGTGACCTGATAATCTTATATAATTTTTATACAAAGGATATATATAACTTTAACTTTTCGAATATATATTATATTTTATGAGTTTAACATTAAATCTTTTTCTCAATCAGATCACCTAAAAGATCATGATAAAAATTATTCATAGAAAGTGATATTAATGACCTAAAAATAGATAAAATTACGTTTTACAACTTGTTAAAACATATCGATAGTGAAAAAATAAATTTCAATACAGTGTATATAAGTTACTTACACAAGTTATCACTTTGTAAATAATGTATGTTAATCCTTGGGCTAAGCCTATGGTAGGACATAGCTTCATAAACAAGGTGACTGTACTTGCAAGAGATCTGTACATATTATGGCGCGGCTTACCATTTTGAAATCTAAATTAAGTTTTCCTGATTGTATCACTATATATTGAATATTTATTCGGAAAGGTGTATTCATGCAATTTATATAAGCTCTATCGTGTTCCTCAATCTCCTTTAAACCAATATAATATGTTACAACTTGAGTTTGAATTGTAGATGCAACTTGTTGAGTTCATAGTTCTTCTTTTAGGTACCCTTTGGGTTGCCAATGGAACAGTGATGGTTGATTAAGAGTAGAGTTTCCTTCACATCCATCCCTTTCTTCCTTTCTTGTGCTCATCTTCGTTGTTCTTTTGTGGTTATAATGAGAGATCGCATATACTCATTCTTTCAATAAGTCAAATGGTTGATGTTGAACAAAGTCTATATGGTTGTAATTAAACATGAATATTTAGTGTTTATTGACAAGTACCTGTACCAAAATCACGAGTTCACGGATCATAACAAAATTCGGGATCATTTTGGAAATTTAGTATTAGCTAATGTTGAATACTTATTCCGCTATCTATGTTAATTCAAACATATTATATCTTGTTTAGCTGTTTAAAATATTAATACATATTAATTAAAGATCATCACAACTTTTGATGGAATTTTTTTGGATCGTGACAAATTAGCCTAACGACATTTAGTGGTTGAATCAAGCCTTACAAGGTGCAAGTACTTGTAATAATTTTACTATGGGCAAAATGGGATGGCTTCTTTTTTATTTTGGTCCCTATAATAGATGTACCTACTAGTAAACTTATTGGAAATGTGGGGTCATCATCACACTTCATGCTTATATCATCCTCCTCATTTCTTCCACGTGTCATGGATATCAAGGGTACATATTGGAGAGTCCATAAAACCCAACAGTTATCATAATTAATCTCTTTGAAAGATTTATAAGTTCACCAACCATGATCTATATCCCGCAAAACCCTAATAAGAATTAAGGCTTTTCACGTCCAACTTGTATGATGGGAATTTTAATTTTCTTCTCTGATTATTGCTAATAGTGATGAACAAATAATTAATGCATAAGACTAATTGCAGTACATGGCCTTATCCAGTTAAACTTTCTTGTGAGATTGCACAAAATTTTGTGCCAAGAATCTTCTCTGTGGCAATGCCACAATTAGTACTGTGTATCCCATTATTATTGGATTCTTCTGATGGACAAGTTTGTGAATTCAAGAATGTGTCCATGGGCATAATATAGATCAGCAGCTGACCAATTTGGAGTTATGAATAAATATATGATGACAGTAATAATGAGAAAAAGACTAGGAAGTTGAAACAAGACTGTGACCTTAAAGCATTAGCATAGCTAGCCTCTTTTTTCGCTTGAAAATTACTGGCCTGGTGGAATATTGATTTTTAAGGCTATTGGGATACAACGTACACCTCAGAAAATGCCCTTTCGTTTTGGTCATGGTCTTTGGTATAAATCCTATGCAGGAAAGCTAAATTCTCCTGCCTACATTTTCTTGAAAATGAAATATAAGGCGTGTCTCTTTCACCACTTTGGGACGCAATTGCTTAGACCACTTTATTTGATGTTATTTCCGTTGGTTATTTGTTTCGGTAGTGACCCGACTTTATTTTATTAGAGGTATAATTAGTGGCTTAGTTATTAACCGTCTAAAAGCTACTGTAAATAAAATTTCTTTTGAAAATAAATCACTAATCCGCCTTAGATACCCTTTTAAATTCATGTAAGGTAGAGAAAATGAAGGTACCTGCCAGAGGTTGAAAAGCCATAGTGCACTAGCACTAGTGAGTTAGCGTAACAACTCAACTAGGATAATATATAACATCATTAGCTATAATTTTTTAAACCCATCCCAATTTAGGAGGATATCTTTTAAATTCATGTATGGCAGAGAGAATAAAGGACTTGCCGGAGGCTGAAAAGCTATAGTGCGCTAGCACTAGCGAGTTAGCGCAACAACTCAACTAGGATAATATAACCTCATTAGCGCAACAACTCAACTAGGATAATATATAACCTCATTAGGTATATTTTTTTTAAAACTCATCCCAACTTAGGAGGATATCTTTTAAATTCATGTAAGGCAGAGAGAATGAAGGGACCTGTCGGAGGCTGAAAAGCCGTAGTGCGCTAACACTAGCGAGTTAGCGCAACAACTCAATTCTAGGATAATATATAACCTCATTAGCGCAACAACTCAATTAGGACAATATATAACTTCATTAGCTATATATATATAGATATATATTTTAAATCCATCCCAATTTAGGAGGATATCTTTTAAATTCATATAAGGCAGAGAGAATGAAGGGACCTGCCGGAGGCTGAAAAGCCGTAGTGCGCTAGGCCGCTAGCACTAGCGGGTTAGCGCAACAGCTCAACTCGGATAATATATAACCTCATTAGCTATATACAATTTCCATTATAAGTCTATATGATATCTTTTCAAACTACGGTAAAAATATAATCTTTTACTTACTCTGGTAAAACGATTTTGCTTCTAATATAACACAGGGTGTAGAATTGTACACTTATAGTAAAAATACATTTACACAATTAGATCAATTAAAAGTCTATTGAAAGGTAAGCATCTAATACTAAAAATGAGTTGGTAACTAGAAAAAAGGTGAGTGACCTAGCTAAAAGTCAGACAAATTACATTGAGCATGTACAATTTTCTACACGTTAAGCGGATGTTACTTGATTTCAATAAAACAATATCAAAATCCACCAAATATATTTATGTTTTACATAATTAGATGTGGTTGTTTTATACTAAATGATTCTTCTTCTTCAATTTTTTTTGTGGAAACAATTCAAACAATCTCGTGAAACTACAAATTAAGGGTTGAGTTGAAAGCTCACCTACCAAATAGATTTAGTACAAGTAAAACAAATAAGACCAGCCAGCATGCATCATTTTGAATCAAACAGCTTTATTACACCTAATGCAACCATAATGTCAAGTACGTTAGTACAAAACAAATAATTCATGTTATAATTATTAATGTCACCTAATTTTTTTGTTTTTTCACGATACAAAGACAATAGAGTTTGTTCCTTTTAGTTTATGCCTCTCTTTTCAAATAGCACTACATTTAGGGGTTTATATTGATCGGGTTAGTTTGAATTTTGCAATTACCAAACCAAATCAGTTTTGTCGGGTTATTAAATCTAAAACCAAACCTGACCAATAAAACTCGGATTTTTCAAACTCGATTTTTCTCGGGTTTTCGGGTTATTCGGCGTTTTTAGGTTTTTCTCCGGTAAAATCTTCGTAGCACAAAACATATAACTTGTGCTCAAAATATTTCTTTGATCCTAGTAAGATACAACTATATAAGGTATTTTCCAAAAAAAATAATACAAAACATGATATGTGTCATGGCATTATCCTAAAATATTCAACAATAAAGACAATAAAATTATGTAATATAAATATTGCTAATTAAAAAACCATAATAAAAATAAACATAATCTAAAAGTACTAAGTCATGCTAAAATAAGTAGACTAATAAGGGAGTATTAATTACATGACTAAACGCTAAAGAAAAAATAAAAATAGGTTATGCATTTTTATCTAAATTATTCCAAAACAAAAAATAGATATTTAATACATTGCCGTTCATAGTATTGAATTGAATGTCTTTAGTATTCAATACATTAGTATTGATTTGATTTTGATTTGGGCTTTTGTTAGCATTATTTAAGTTACTAATATTAATTTGTAAAACTTATTGGAACATTTAAAAGTTCTAAGTCCAATCTTGAAATAATACCTTAAAAGATAAAATTATGAAAAAGTTTAAAATATATTTATAAATTACATCACAGTAAGTATATTTATATATTAAATATATCTAAAATTTCTATATATGTAACGTCGGGTTGGTTTGGTTTCGGTTTGACTTTCTTTAGTTAAAACCAAACCAAACCAATTATAGTCGGATATTTTTTTTCAACACCAAACCAAATCAAACCAAACCCTAGTCGGATTTTTTTCTCGGTTTGACTCGGATTATCGGATTGATGCAGTTTGTCGGTTTCCTTTATACCCCTAACCACAATTATGGATAGCTATAGTGTATGGCCACTCTAATCGTGTTTAGATAAATGCTTTATATATAGTACTTTTTTTAATTCAGGAAAAAAATCTCAAAAAAAAAAAAAAAACAAACATGCGGAAGTGATAATCAACCTATTCATATTGCTTACACAAAAGACATTGTCCTAATCTTTATAGAAGACATATAGGACAATTATTATTTTTCATAAGAAATGACATCAATTCGTGCCAAGAATCCATCATTAGAAAGATTAATGAAAGTGAACCAATGGTGCACTCAAGAGTCATTCATTCTTATATTTGTGTGTTAAAAAGAGAGAGCCGTAATAGAGTTGAAGTAACTGAATCTCTAGTTGTGAAGTGTGAACAAGTGATGACTACATTGTTGTGTCATTTCTTTTCTTTTTTCCTTCTTTTTTTCTCTCTTTAATATGGATTTGTGGAGGGCCACTTTTTCCAGTGTTAGTGGCAAGAAACAAACTCATCTTTATCCTCTTTTCCCCTCCCCCTCCACCAAAGTTCATAATTTGATGTCCTT